ACAGGGAGAAAGGGGGATTTAGTGTTTGTAGGCTGAGGTTGCTCCAGTTTCCACCAAAGAAAACAATTGCTTCATTCCCTCACCCCCTCCTCTCCTCCAGACATATAGGCTGGTAAATTAGTGAACTATTATTTCTCTCTTAAAGTTATTTTTGGAAAAAAATAACTTGATACATTAATTTGCACATGTAAATTCCTTGAAAGCAATGTCAGATCAAAATGTAAGGTTGAGTAGAAGACATATAGTAGCATTTTCACAATTATTTTCATGATAGGGACAATGGTGACAAGGCTGTTGGCACTTCCATTTTGCCCTGTAACATTTCGGTCAACTTGCTTGCTGTCTTGGGGACAATCACATCATCTCCATTGTTGCCAGCTGGATGTTGACTTGGCCATGCCTTTTCATCTCAGATGTCAACCCCCTTCATTCTACTTTGTCAGCCTTGCCTATGCTCCATTGTTGCCAGCTGGATGTTGACTTGGCCATGCCTTTTCATCTCAGATGTCAACCCACTTCATTCTACTTTGTCAGCCTTGCCTATGCTCCATTGTCCTGCTGGTGAAAACAAAGATCAGTTTTGGAGTCTGGGGTAACTCATGGTTGTCCACTGCCAGTGGACTCTGGTGGCAAAAAGCAATGTGTCTGGACAGTCTGCGTGGCTGAAGGCTCCTGAGGTTGTGGGTGAATTTCATCTGATGGAGACCCAGGTGTAGGCTCTGTTGCAGCTTCAGTTCTTCCAGCACTGCCAATGGGGGCCTCTGGAGTTGCATGGGCTGTGGGCCCAGGTGGTGCAGCAGGGGTGGTCAGCACAGACACCAGGTCCTCTTCAGTCATTAGGCAGCGGACGACATCCAATAGAAGAGAAGTTAAGGTAGCCCATGCCTGCAATCTGCTCCAAACAGCTGAGTACAGAGCCCAGTTTATTCCCGACTGGTGAGCTGAATTCTTAGTCTACTGCACAAAGCATATTCCCGTAGACCAGTCCCACAAATTATTGTCTGCCACCCACTCCATGAGCATCTCCTTAATATTGCTGTTTGGATGGTCCGCTAGTTCTTAGCTCTGAGAGCATCCTGGTTTTCCGTGCACCAAACTGAGAAGAGGCCACAGATGCTTTACTTCTTGCATGACTTGAGTAATGAATTCTGTTCCATCAAGACCCTGCAATATAACACAGGCTCCAAAAGCATGAAAGATGTCAAGAAGCTGTAGAGCCACCTCAGCTGCTTTTTTTTTGACCTAAGTAGATGGAGAACACAACATTTGGTGATGCAGACCTAGTAAAAAGTTATCCACTCCAAGTTGCCCAGACACATGGACTGCATATTGATAAAGTCAATCCATTGATACATTGATTGAATAGTGTTAAGTGCTCCCTGTTCAGAGCACAGCAGCAAGCAAACAGTTCCAAGTGGTGCCTTCTTTTTCTTTGGCACACTACACAGAAGGATTTGAAGTGCTCACCAGCATCTCTGGTGATGTTTGCACACTTGGACAACAAGTGTTTCATGACACAGTTGTGGCCACCATGGCCAGAAGCCATATGTGCATTTTTGATGATGTCATCCATACCCTTACGCCCACATAATATGTGGAAGATTCCTCTTCCATCTGCCTCCTCTTAATCAGATTCTTGGTGTCTCCACATAGCAAAATTTTGTATCTGGAAGGAGGGAAAAAGCAAGCAATTTGTTAGCAATAATGCTGTGTATCTCACTGGGGAAAGCAGCGCTGTATAGCCTTAGAGTTAAAAAAAACAGAAAGAGGAGATTCTCCATACTTATTTTGTAAGCAAATGGTATTCATGTCTTGACTTTGACTTGGGATTCTGTTCTGTTGTCTTTATTTCAGCAATTGTTGCACAATACTCTGCTTTTGGGATCATGCACTTGGAGTTTATCTTACACCTTTTGTATGTTTCTTTTCTAAATTTAACTTCAAAGTTCTGAGGCATCTTCAGGAATGATTACTTAGCAAGTAGAAAAATCTGATTCAGCTCCCTCTTATGTACAACTGCTCCTGCACCAATTTCTGACATATGCTACAGTCATACTGTGAAACCAGTCATTTTGTAAAATGACTAATATCTTCAGCCATTTCTCAAAATGACTTCCAGTTATTTTGCAAAAATGACAGAAAAGGGTAGGCAGCGTTATGCAAAATATCTCATCTCTGCCTCTGACCAAGCAGATGATTGTAATTGGAAATTTCCGCCTTCCTCTATAGATTATCTCCTGCATGTCAGCAGTTCCCCGTCACCACCGCTGCCATCCCCAGTCACATTTTGGATGCTGCTCTGGTCTTGTCTCCACTTTTGCCTTCAGCAGTTATTCAGACTCTTCTCCTCCTGTGGCATTGCCTGCCAGCACCTCCACCTCTCCCCCGACCTCCTGGGAGAAGCGAGCAGGGAGGGTGCCCAGGAGGGTGGGAGAGAGCAAGAAAGCTGATGAGGAGCAAAGCAAGGGGAGGCTGGAGGGAGCAGCAAGTGGTCCTTCCCCCAAGCCCTATCGACACCCTTTGCTGGAAGCATCACCTCTGCCACCACCTGGCAGGGCAATTCCTGCTGGTGTTAACCAAGACTTCATTCTCTCAGGGTGAAAGCAGACTCCTCTGCCAGGCACTAACTTTCACAAAGCAAGGCAGGTTGTGGAAGATGTAAAGTTTTCATGATACTCCTCAGCATCAAGTCATGCTTTTTATGGGAAAAAAGTATGGCTTGATGCTGAGGAGTATCACCAACCTAAAGCATGGAACTGCGACCCCCTAATTCTATTCATTATCACCCTGAGTTGGCATTAACATCATTAGCATCAATTTTTGTTTGGGAAAAAAAAATCCCACTGCCCAGCATTGTTTGTGATGCTATAGTAAAGGGTATTGCAAATATGTACAACTTGTGATTTTAACACGTACGTGAACACAATTGGTTAAGCTGTATGGTCAGGAGGTAACGTTCGTAAACATATGGTTTATTTTTTGAAAGTCTTCTCAAATTCAGACACAAAATGCTTTTCTTTTATATACACGTTTGCAGGAAGGACTTGCTTAACTTTTTCAGCACATGTTGTTTGTTAACAACTTTATTATGACAGAAAGGTTATGATATAGTGTTACAAAGGTATGCAGTGCTTATAGAACACACACAAAGTATTTTGTTCCACCAATAATGTCACTACATAAGGAAACAACAATGTTGTGCCATTTTCCATCTTCTCTCCCTCCACAAGGAAAAACTGATTTGTTTGTGTTGTTTTAAAGCATTTTATTGCTTTCTTAATGACACGTAATTAACCAGCAGTGAACTACACATTCAAGGGGACTCCTTCCATGTTGTGAAAGTCTCTGTTTGAAAAGTCTACTGTTGAATCTGGCTGGTAGTCATCTTTCTTGATCCTTTTGGGGCAAACACCTTCTCAGACAGTTTTGTCTCAGATCCACACACGCTGCAAGCTCTCACATTCCTGTCTTAACAGCTGTTGGGATTCAGAATATTTCCCAAGGGTAGGCCACGAGAACAGCCCCATATCTTGCTTGTGTTACAAACTTCAGTGATTTCCAACTTATAGCATTACTTAGATTCTGACCTGAAAACACTTTCTCATGATCAGACCTCCCAAGAGATACAGAGGAACTTGAAGCAAGAAGTCAAGGAGGAAAGACTATAGAAGATAAAAGTAACCATCTATAAAGTAACCTATATAGTGGGAACAAAAGCAACAAGCGTAGCAGTAAGATCGCACAGGTACAGCAAAATTGACCAATCATTAATTGATTGGTGTCCAATGAGCAAGAGATGCTGAATGCCATGGTACAAAGGATTTGAAAGAATCTGAAGTATGAAAAAGTGGACTTCAACAGCATCATGAGGAGAGACTGTTGCTGGAAATCACTCAGCTGAAAACGTTTGCTAGGTTAAATGATTAAGACTTGCTTCAGAAGAAAAAACGTGATAGATAGCAAGAAGAAAGATAAATTTGCCATTCCTGCTGGGTTACAGTAGTCAGAGATTTATACTCTTTTGAGGGGGGTAGGTGTAAATCAGCTGAGCTGTGAAGGCCTGAATGTCTTTCACATAATTATTTTGCTGATTTTTTTCTCTTCTTAAGAGGAGTTTAATTCTGTCTTCAGAAATCACAACTCACAATGCCTCCCTAAGAAATAACATGCTTTTTACCTACACCAGGTTTATCAGCTTTTTCCATCCCTCCAATCCAAGCAGTAACATTTTAACTTCTTCTACTAGTACAGGGTACAAAATTTATAGAATTGATTTGAAGATAAAGATATTGTGAGTAATTAGTTATAAACTTCAGAATGTCACAAAATCAACATAGAAAATAAAGAGTCACTGTTACCTTGGAGACCTAAAATATTCGACTTTTTAAGAGAAGACAACTGCTGTCTGAATGATCTAAATAAAATTATTATCACTGTTAAATATTTTTTTAATGGAACAAATCTGTAAATAAAAATACATGCTTTTGTTTGAACTTACAATATTCATTTCGGTAACAATGTGTAAGTTTTGTTGTTAGAGACATTTTCGTAATGTTGGAAAGAGAACAAAATTCTTTTCTGCTGCAATGATACCATATCCAAAAGGTGGTTTGGGAAAATCTTTTAAGAAATGAATATTTATTTCTGGTTTGGTGTTAAGAGTTGATTTAATGGTTCAATTCACTTAGAAAGTTTCACTTGTCTTTACATAGAAGGAACAGACCTACTCAGGAGGAACAATAGCTTCCCTGATTTTTGTGAGACCTTGTGGGAAATAAATAAAAATAGATGTAGAAAATGATATAGATTTTTATGTTTCAAAAAAATCTCTACTTTATTCCTTAAAAAAATGCTTTTCTATTTGTGTTTCTACATACTTTTCAGGTTCTCTTCAGTCTCCTCCTAGTGCCTTTGACTTCACAAACCTTGATGTAAAAACAGTAAGACAGAAGAGCCCATGCTCTTTCCTCCCTCTCTTCCAGGTGGGTCCACAACTCGCGAGGTGGCGTGGTGAGGAAATCCCTGAGGTCCCCCTCCAGTTTCCCACCTGCAATGCTGGAAGAAGTTTGCCCCATTACTTCAGGAATCATCTGTGCGAGTTGGCTGGGCTGCTTCCAGGGACCACCCTGACTTGCTGAGGAGGGGATTTGCCATGTTTGTCCAGCACCATGCTCTGCCAGGCCCAGGTCCACCTTGAGGCTAGCAGCAAGGCAACCTGCTGCGGAGCGTGCCCACCATTTGCTTGAAGAGGCGGCTTCCGCTCAGCACGAACGACAGGAGGTCCAGGCAGCTGAGGGAAGTCAAACTCAAAAAAACTTCATTGTAGCTTTCTAACTGGCCATAAGCACTCACGTGCCGGATGTAGTAGGCCCTGAAGAGGTGATAGGGAAGGAAGCAAATTATGATGACGCAGATGAAAATCAAGTTTTTCACCTGGGCCCAGAACTCTTGGTGTGACCAGAAGGAGGCGGAAAGTTTTCTCAACACTTTTACCAGGATGAAAATCTGCATGCCCAAGAGAACACAAGTAATTAAAGCGACGATTACAATTATGGTATAGTTCAGGGCTTTCACGTTCTCCTGCTTCAGTTCTTTGTGGAACATAAAGCATGTTGTATTATCATAATTTTCTGAGCTTCCATACTCAACATACAAGACTGGCACCACAAAGACCATAACGAAGGCCCACACAGCAGCGCTTGCTGCAATGGCGTGCAACTTCCTGTAGAACTCCACCTTGATCTTCCATTGAAAGAAGATGAGCCACCGGATGACCAGTGTGATCACATAGAATAGGAAGGTCAGGTACATGTGGATGTGCACCATTGCACTCACCAGTTTGCAAAATGGCAACCTGAATACCCACTTCTTGCTGACGTAGTAGTGTAGGCGGAAGGGCACAGTGAAGAGGAGGAGGCTGTGCACAACGACGAGGTTAATGATGGCTGTAGTGGTGATGGACAGAGTGTTCATCTTGACCAGCACAAACGACATTGTGATGGACCCGATCCCACCTCCAGCAAAGGCGACGGAGTAGGCAGTAATAAGAATGGCACTCACGGTGGTGTTGTAGGCAAAGGCAGAGGAAGAGTCACTGCTGTTCCTGTTCTCTTCGATCATGTTCCCGAAATCTTCCTTGTACTTATTCTAGAAATAAAAGAATACATAATAAGATTAAGGTAAGGTAGGAATGAGAGGTCCCACCTGAAAAGCCACCAAAGCTTTCCACCTAGGTCTTGCTCAGGGGATAATCCTGGAATCTCACATCTGGCACAAGCTGTAACGCGTAGTTTTACCCAAACACCCTCCAGCTTAGCGATAAATGGCTGAGAAGGTCAGGCAGGGAGGCTGCTCTAGTCCTTAAGAAGTTGCTAGCCATACCATTAAAAACAAGCACGAGTTAGTAGTACGTGGGAAGAAGAGATCCTTGGAGAAATGTGGTGGTTTTCAGATCTCTGTCTTACAATGGTACTGTTCCAATTCTGCTATTCATTCCTTGGTTTGTTTATTTGTGACACAAATCTGCCCTTCCCAGAGCCAGATAACAACCATATGTTTTTCGATCAAAGCTACGCATTTTGTTTTTTACCGAGAGCTGAGTTTTGCACATAGGACAGTCAACTCTTTCTTCTCCACGGGCAGTTTCTCTGAGTAAGGGATTAAACACCACGGATACCCAGGCTTCATGGAGATCCTGCTCAGATCCTGCCAGCCCCGTGGGCAGGGCTGTCCTGGTGCCCAGGGCCATTTCAGATCTAATGTGTGGCAAACAGCTGTTACAAAATGGGCTGTTAGAAGATGTTAGAAAAGGACATCCTGGGTTAGTGCCAGTAAGTCTGCTTGGCCTGAACTCGGGCTAGATGAGAGTTAATAGCTAGTTTAATAACTGTGCTATGCATTTTTAATATATTACTGCTTCACAGAGAAACTAGATATAATTCTTATAATTCTAAATGTAACTTGTGGTAGGATTTTGAAGTTCTACAAGATCATGGGGAAGAGGAAGAGTTCAAGTATGTCAACAGTTCAAGTTATCCTGAAGCATCTGTGAAAATATCAAGAGGATGTCCACCCTGCAGTACAGGAAAGAAGCAGGGGAAACTGAACACTCTCTACTGTCCCAGTTATACTGCTACTGCTACCTGAACTACCTATTTAAAACTGACCCCAGTATGCCTTCCATTTCACCAGTGACTCCCACAACACAAGGGGGAGTTTTCTCATGTGTAAGGTTTTGCAATTTTTTCTTTTAATACTGCCATGTTGTTAACTTAACAAAGTGTTTCCTCTGTTTCTTTGTACGACTTTCAGCTTTCTTTCAGCTTCTTTTCATTTTTAGGCAGCACTTATTGCCAAAAGTTGGGAGGGGAAAAAAGTTCTTTAGCAGTTCTCACTTTTGTGGAAAAGAGGAAATACCTATAAAAGTTTACAAGCTGGTTTTGCTTGCAGTGAGGAATGAATATCTGTGATGCCACTCAGAAATTTTTTGCCGTTTCTTAGCAATATGTCTAAGCATTCACCCCTACAGTAATCAAGATGTTCTTGTTGAAAAGTCAGTTATTCTTTAGCTATCCCAATGCATCTAAGACTCCAGATATTTTCTTGTGATCAACATAAATATACCTGCTGTACGTCAAATTGATGTGTTGGTTTCTGGCACTTACTGACCTTTTCTGCTTGGAACTGCGTTTCAGAGTTATATGGACAACTCATTCCAGTTCATTCTGAGAAGTAAAACGGGTTGCAATGAAAAGAGCTTTTTCTCAAAAGTGCTGCTGATTGGCACACTGCAGGTCTTGCATCAGAAACCATGCAAGTTCCTTCCAGTTTTGTTCTTGTTTCTGAGATGTTGCATTTCAGCCCACAACTGTGCAAGCCAGAAGGGGTCAGCAATAGCTTCATCAGTTTCCCCAGGTTGTTAAGCTCTAATTCCAAAAGATGTCTCTAAAAAGTGGCATTGTTGCTCTGTTTTAATTTAATCTAGTTTAAAAAGTGCCACAACCCTAAAGGCAACACTCTAGAAACACGAGTTGGTGTGAGCAGCCCCAGCAGCAAGGCTGCATGTAGAGAGGAAGGACCCTTCACCATCACCCTTGAAACGTGAACCGAAGGCAGCAAGGAACAGATCAGCAGAAGTCAGATAACTGATGTTTTCCTCAGACATTCCCATTAAGGGAACAGCAAGAGACCCGTTTCTGTCTGCAAACACGCAACTGAGAGACTGAAATGCCGGTTTCTGCAGAAACTTGCAGTCATCGATAAATCCTTCCATTGTAAGATCCTGCAGGAAACATCATTTTCATTAATCTTCAAAAGAAAAACTACCAGCAGCTGATAGGAGATTATCAGCTCCCCAGTATTAGAGGCATCCCACTGCAATACCATGGCGTGATGAACCCAGAGGTTCATGGGGTATGTTTCACAGAGGAACCGCTGCTTTCTGGTGAAATGAGGTTTCCTATTGTACTGACATCCACAGAGCCATAACCTACCGGCCTGAAATACAGCTAGGAAGTCCTTGGGCCAGAATTTAACAGAAGGCAAATGGAATGGGGGTGAATATAGGTCTTACAAGAAACTAATTATATGACATAAAGCTGAACCTCGCTGGAAACATGAGCTATAGATGTCTCCAAGGGTCAGAAAATGTCTCACAGCAAAGGAGGAACAACAGAAGAGAGCACTGCCAGTGGTATCAGGCTATCTAAGAAACGATCTTCCCCCACGCTTCCCCCTTGCCAATGTCAGCTTATGCAAGTAGAAATGCCACCAGAGGGCTTCCTTTATTCCTCTACACATCCAGAGGCAGAGAGTTTCTCCACGATGAGGCATTCTTGTTTCTGTGCCTTCCTATCTCCTCTAGCTACTGCCAGTTCAGTGATATTCCTCAAGTTTTGGAGCAAAGCTTGGTCTTACTCTGTATTAAGCCTCTCATTACTTGGCTAAACTTCTGCTGGACACGTGCTTTGAAGAGTCATGAGGCAATGAGGGGCAACCACTTCCTTTGAATACCATAGCAGTTAAAGAGATATCTGCTGGTTCTGAGGGCTTGGGGACAATTGCCAAAATAGCTGTGTTTTAGTTTGACAAAGGAGGTAGATAGCCCAGAAGCCAGATGCTGGGTTCTTTCGGAAATCTGATCAGCAAAAAGATTCTCGTGCATTCGGGACTCATCAGTTATCAGTGTGGCTGAGGTCATCCCATTCATCTCCCGTGACTTTCTGTGCAGCACAGCCCGCAGGACTTCCCCAGACTGCTCTCTTCAGGCCACAGCGTGACACTTACAGAAACTGTTTGGTCTCTCTCAAAATTTTCCCAGTCAAAGAATATTCATTGCAACCTTCAGGAACCTGTTTCTCTTTTTTTATCTTCTTGTTAATTATTCTACTGTTTAAAAAACCAAAAAGCGTGAGCCACATTTCTAGACAGAATTTGTACAACCTCAGCTTCCAGGCAGAGTATGTACTTCTGGTTTTGCCTTCAGATTTAAAAATAATTTGTAAAATTTTGGCTTTCCCTATAGGGACCTGGAGATAAGTAGAGATAAGAGACAGAAGATGCTTATTTTCTCTTCATCCCAGTCATACCTGTGGCTCCTCACTGAACTCCATCAATTAGAGGAACAGCTTTGCCTTTGGCAGTGGTAAAATGCATGGTGCTAATTCACACCCAATTTAGCAATCCAGATCAGCCTGTCGTGGGCTTCTTTCCTTCATTGCTTACTGTTTTCCCAACCAGGTTCATCAATAACCATTATATAACATCAACACTATAGAATCAGAGAATGGTTAGAGTCGGAAGGCACCTTAAAGATCATCGAGTTCCAACCACCCCCTGCCGTTATATCAACTTATGTAAAAACCCCAAAAAATCTCATTTATCAAAAACCATGACACTCACAGTCTCTGCCAAACAGTGAGCTCTACTATCTGTGTAACAAGCGTTTACAGAATTTATCCCCCGCTGTACGTAGTGCTGTGTGCCGACAGGAGCTCTACTATCTGTTTACAGAATTTATCCCCCGCTGTACGTAGTGCTGTGTGCCGACAGTTCGGTTCTGCAGAAGCAGCGTTTGCAGCCAGCGTGAACCCAACTAAGAAGTCTCATTTGAATTTGGAGGGGAAAAAAAGGTCAATCCCAATGAAAGATTTCTGGTTTTGACAGACTTAATAAAATGGGAAAATGAGTGTTAGTCAGAACTGACGTTTTTGCATTGAATTAGTCTAGGTTGGCGGCAGTGCAAAATACAAATATTATTTAGCAAAAGTCTACTTAAAATGTGCATTTGTTTCACAAACAGCCACGTGTAGTCTCAGAGATGCTTTCTGTTGACAGCACTGTAATTGTTTTTCGATTTGCTCTAATTCCATGCTGTGTTATAGTTAATGTAGGCTATGCCACTAGAATAATTGCAGAATTCTCTTCATTTCAAAATAAACACACTCACCTGAAGTTTGAAGTATAAACATTTGTTTAAAGGAAAACATTACAAATTAAAATATGAAATATCAACTGTGCGTTTACATTTAGACACTGACTTTTTTCAAACAACTTTTAGTGACTCCTGCAACTCATTCATTAGCTCATTGACTCCCATCTTGCAGGCTGTCATGATTATACTGATCATTTTCAGTTTAGTTTAGTTTAATTCTAGTCTATTGAAGAACAAATGGGATGGAAAAACACGTTGAATTAGTCCTCTTTTGTTTGAGTTGTTTGCTGTTTTTACACAAAATTGAAAACCTTCCTAAAAATAATTATTTACCATCCATCCTAGCTGTATCTTATAAAAGAAAACATACATCCTTCTGGTCTTTACAAACACACACAAAAAAAGATGGATGAAATCAAAACTAATTGCCTCCCAATTTTAGGAGGCAGTGTAGAGCTACAGGACTGCAATATGAAAAAGGATGAAGCAATGCTTTCCTGTACTAGGGAAGTACAAATAATGATGATGAAAACAGTTGTGCAGAAAAGCTTTAAAATGTGTTCAAAATAAGTCAACCAGACAATTGGATATTTTTTTTTCCTAAAGTTACAAACATTGTTTTGAAAATATTGCAAACCAAGGCTTTTGTTCGTTCTGTGTGTACTTACAGATTAGAGTTTATCTCCACTCTTCAGGTGTTGTTTACTTGACTCTTCATTTAAAGTAAGCTCTAAGAACAAAAAGCAAAACACCTGATATTTTAAAGAGTCATTGCCTTGCTTCCTTCTTTGAGCCTATGACGAAGCAACAACCATGAGCCTCAGCTGTGTGAAGGCAGGCCTGTCCATAAGCACACAGCCTCAGGAAGATTTTTAATTGCATCACAGGATCCCCTAATTTGCCGCTATTTCTTAGCTAAAGAAGGTCTTCAAAGCTTCCCATTTCTGAATGGTTACATCCTTCTACTGCCTAAGTCTATCTACAGATGGAAGCCCCACGGATCACAAAGAGACTCCTTTGGAAAGGTTATTCCCCAGAGAGAAGGGAGTGTTTTGAGAAAACAGGGTAGAAGGGGAGCAAAACATGATCTATATTGTAATTTCCTAAGGGGGGGGTTTACATATGGTTAAAGTATAGACATCAAAGTGTAAGGGATGAAATGAAGCCCACCCTAAAACCCAGCACCATGTCTCAGCCCTGCTTTCTGCCAAGATTGGAGCTCAGCAGCTGGATCTCAGCACTCAGTGCCATCACTGTGTCCAGGTCTGGGCTCCCCAGTTCCAGGACAGGGAACTGCTGGAGAGGGGACAGCAGAGGCTACAAAGATGATTAAGGGCCTGGAGCATCTCTCTTATGAGGGAAGGCTGAGGGACTTGGGGCTTTTTAGGCTTGAGAAGAGAAGGCTGAGGGGGGATCTGACCAACACCTATAAATACTTCAAGGGTGGGTGTCAGGAGGATGGGGCCAGGCTTTTTTCAGTGGTGCCCAGGGACAGGACAAGAGGAAACAGGCACAAGCTTGAACATAAGAAGTTCCACCTAAACATGAGGAGGAACTTCTTTCCTGTGAGGGTGACAGAGCCCTGGAAGAGGCTGCCCAGAGAGGTGGTGGAGTCTCCTTCTCTGGAGACATTCAAAACCCACCTGGACACGTTCCTGTGCAACCTGCTCTGGGTGGACCTGCTCTGGCAGGGGGTTGGACTAGATGATCTCCAGAGGTCCCTTCCAGCCCCACATGATTCTGTGATTCTGTATGTATGGTGGTAGAAAAATGAAATGAGGATATTTTATTAATAAAACCTTAGTCATGTCAGTATCGAAGACCCACTGGTGGGGATGATTGTTGTGTGGTGCACCTGGTAAAAGATGTCTTACTGCAGGACTGAGTCTCTGTGAGGAATATGTGCAAGGCCAGGTTTTGCCCTCCTGCAGGCTCAACTCGTTTCTGTCAGAACACACAGTTGTGTTTAACAGTTTTGAAAGCAACGGCATTAACATTCAACATTTACATACGATCTTACGTAAGAACACCTTAACTGACTACATCCTGTTGCTTCACATTTGGTTAAAAAAACACAAGGGTTGTTCTGTTCTGTGGTACTTCACAACAGACTGGTGTGTGATGGAGATTGTGTTCTTGTGTTTTGCAATTTTGACAGCGGCTAACAGCTAAAGAGATGTGCAGATAATATTAAAAATTGATCATAATAATAATGCTTAGCTTTCTGCAGTTGATCTCAAAGCTCTGTTAAAAGATGTATATATATCATTCTCCCCATGCCAAAGCTAAAAAACTGAGACCTCTGTGGCAAAGCCAGGTATAAAGCTAAGATATCCTTAAATCATATCCTGTACCTTCTCAAGTCAATAGTGTTGTCTTGGCTTCTTGTAGGTCTTGTTCTAGAATAAATACATCCCAATTAATAATGGGAAGAAAGCCAAGACATCTTAAAGACATGCAGGCAGCATCTGAGTGTGTGGAGGTTTTTTAAGCTATATATAATACATATATCAATATGTATAATATTCTTGATACATAATATCGATACATATAATAATTACATTATATAGTTGATAAATAAAAACATTTTTTTCCCAAGCCATCATCATAAATGGGGCTTTCCAGGTTGACTTCTGTCCATGCATTTGCTTTCTGCAAATCTTCCATCCTTGCACTGACCCAGGATTAAAATAAATATTGAAATATCAGAGTATGGTCTGGGACAGACATTCTCATTACCTTTGTTCATCTTTAAACTGGAGTTAGTGTCAAGCTCTAGATAGGTACAGTAAGCCTAATGCCATTCATTGCCTGATAAATTATGCAATTTGGCACAAGATTTAGCAGCAGCATGTATAGTCTCTAGAGTACGTTTCTCTCACTGTGGTTCAAAGAATAGAATCCAGATGTGGATTAGATGTGTTTAGATTTTCACTAGTAATGTACTGAGCTGGTGGCAGAACGTGATTATTTTAGACCATCACACAACAACAGAATTTAAACGCAGGTGCTAGAAATGCACATATTTCCTAAGTTTTGAGTCATTGCTTATGATCTTAGCAATACCCCAAAATCTAGAAGCAGTGTGACAGTGGGTTTGCGCAGTACCATTGTATTACCTGGATGAGTCCTTCACCTAGTTTGAACTTGTGTTCTAGCAACGGTGTCATGGGCCATAGCTGTTTAATAATATTTGAGAGTCTGGCCCAGATTTCAAGGACTCCTTGTCCTGAGATCTGGGTGGCATCAGCACTCCTTTACTCTGGGGAATGTGAAGTCAGTTCTCTTTTCCTTCCTTTATGCTCAGGCATAATATATGCTGTTAGTGATTTTTTTCAGCTGTTCCAAAATCAGAGGTGTACACAGAATAACCATGGCAACCCAGGTGTTTTGTTTTTCTATATCTATTACGCCAGGATGCAAGGATTTGGAGTGCTTGAAGGAGGTATGTAGGTGTGGTGGTTGGGTCTTCTGGAGAAAACCACTCCTCTCCTTCACTTATGTAGGTGGCAGAAAGCAAAAAAACAAGATCCACCTGAGCCACCCTGACTCTTTTAGCTTGCTGAGGGTAAAGATTGAGTAACACTCCTGAAAATGCCGAGCTGATGTTGATAGCAGAGAATCAAGCCCCCAGAGGGGTCTCTAAACCTGTGACTGTTAAGGGTGAGCTTTGAAATATTCCCCAAAGTGTGGGGGACAATTACCTGAACAAATCAGCTTTGTTGGACAGTTGATCAGAATTCTGCCAGTCAGAAAACCCTACTGGAAGTGGCAAAGTATTCCTTAATTATTTAATCATCTTACACTGGAAGAGCTAGACCCTGCCCCTCAGTACATTCATGAAAGAATCAGGACTTAAATTATCGAAAAACTTCTTCAATGCTGGTTTCCAGCTTTCTTTGTTCCTCGTATATATTCAGATCCATCACGTAAACTTCATTTATATTAATAAATATAAGCCTGTTTATACCCAAGGCATTGTCCCATAGTTGTGTATTAGTCTTGCAGTGAGCCATGAGCCTGATTCTCATCTCTAGTGCACAATTTTAAGACTGTACAGTTCCAGTTTCACCAACGACACCACTGATTGAGCCTGGTGGGACAGGAGATCAAGGCCCGGGGCATCATCTACCACATCTTGTGCTCCTTATGCAAAGCCCAGATCTGCTCAGAGTCCCTCCCAGTGCCAGCTATGGGCTTGGTGTGTAAGACTGGCTGGATCTGTTATTAAGCTCTAATTGTGACAGGTTAATTGCAATTTATCGTTAAGTAAAAGATCAGCTGCTAATATGAATAGCTGAAAGGCAGTATGTAGTTACAGTGAGTAACTCTAGCTGCTACCAACAAAATTATATTTTTGACTCACATTTTTAATGTGCCTTACTATTTCAAGCACCTGAATAAAAAAAGTATTAATCATCTATGAAATGAAAAACGTTCGGTATCAATAACAGCCAAAACCATTTTGTAGATAATAGGTTTCTTAAAATGTCTCTATCTAGGTTCTGAAGCAGTTGGGATTTGTGGCCATCACCCAGGTGGTACAAGGCATCCATCTTTTTTCCTTTGGAAAAGAGAACATTTTGGAAAATATAGGGAGAAACAAGTGACTTGCAATTCCTCGTACTGCAAACAAAACCAAACCTAAATCCCTGTGAAAATCCACTGTAGTTCTTCTTTAATAGTGTGTGTGGGAGGGATCACAAATCCAGAAAACAACTGTTCTAACACTAATAATTTGCCTAACTTTCCTCACACCAACTTTTGTTTCCTACTGGCACTCTTCTGTGGCCTCAGTGTTGGTCACTGAGGACGGGAGGAACAATCAGAACCACACACAAAAATATCTGCACAGGCTCCAGTCTAAACGGAACTTTTTGAGAAGGTGTCTCACTTATTCTTAACAGCTGCACATTTCCAGCAGTCTATCACCAACTTTAACATTATCTTGTTCTGCATGATTTTACTAGTTCACAGCTGTCGCGTGCCGGTAGGTTTTTCAGGAGGTATGCCTTTCATCAGGGATCCAGCACAGCAATTCACTCATTATCAGAGCCCGCTTCCATTAGGATTAAAAAAAAAGTGGAGGGTGGGGGCTGATTGACAAGGAGAGGCATTACTCCTGCCATAAGGATGAGGTTAGACTGCAGAGAATGAAATCATACATGCGGTACCATGCCGATCCTATATGCATATATCCCTTTCCGAGAAGAAAAAGCCCTTCTCTTCACCTAAAGATACAGTGCTCATCCTAAAATTTGTTTGAACCCTGTACTAGCCTCTCACTAATTGCCTGTTGTGGCAGATAGCATGCTGTAAGGAAGGATATCTTTTATTACAGCACAAGTCTATTGCTACTTGCCCTCCAAGTGCTTGCTGTAATTGCTAATACTGTTTTATTCTCAGACTGACTGCAGAGGTGATACGAACTCTATCACCGGATGCGTGGAAAAAAATCTTTTCATTAATGAACACCCTTGTGCTGAATATACATATACAGCTCCTTGTGAAATTTAGTGTGCTAAAATGCATTGGTCTGTACTGGCAGAGGAAGAAACCTCCCTGCATTGCTCTAAGAGTGTCTGCCTAGGAACAGCCCAGAAAGCAAAGCTAGATGGATAATGAAGATGCTTTCCTACCTCAGTGTAAGCACAATGAGGTACATGGCTTCGTTACTACAGTTGGGTTAGACAGGACTTCAGGGTAACTCTAACTCCTTCAGAAATGAGG